TTATTAACGAGACCAACCTCTATTTAGAAAAATCAAGCAATGATACTCAGATTATATTATTATCCTAATGGTCAATGATGTCTGAGGCCGTGGATGGGGCCACCTGGGCAACCCCCACAAGGTCACTCCTGCTGGGCCTTGATTTTCAAACGGCTAATCGCCAATAAAAAAGCGAAATTTCCGGGTACACCCAAAATATAATAATCTCGTTCACACCAATCACCGCATGAAAACGTGTGATTACGTAGTAGGAAACACAATTGAAAGAATTCTCATCACTCGGCACGCTTTGGTCGGGCCCAGATCAACAAGATAGCCGTGCTACGAAAACACCTAAAAAATTTCTCCAAGGAAATACGGTCGCGATTAACCTTTTCGACAAGTAATGCCATCGAAATTTAGTGATCATCTCGACGTGTGGAGTGGCCAATGAAACGGGAAAATGAGTGGGAAAACAACTTGAGAGGTCCGTCTCAACCATCCCCCCGACCCAACCCCCAACATAAATAATATTTCGGCGCGTCCTTCTCGAGAGAGAGCTTGACCTTCGCAAATTGAGACAGAAAAATCAGACTTCTAATTGATCGAACGTATTCAAAGATGGCAGCGCAAAGCATGTGTGTTATCATCTCCAACCACTGACCTAGGGCTAAAATGTCAAAGTCATTGCAGCATATATACCAACATGATTAGGTGAAGGTTTTTAGATTATAGTCTATTGTTTAGGACTAACCATCCAAAGCTAAGTCAGAAATTACCAGAGAGGTTGACCAGAAATCTTCATATCCTTTTTCTCACTATATCTACATGTGTGTCTGTGTTCGTGATGGGCAAAATGGGTGAACGGAAAGACCTTATTAAGTTCACGGCGAGCGTAGCGAAGATTCACAACATTTCCTGCAACTCCGTAATGGTCGATTCTTCTATTTAGTCTGGACTCCCACCTCGCTCGAGCACACGAGCCATCGGCCCTCTCCACTTCTCCTGAGAGAAGATGAGGCGATGGCGTTTTCCACGTTCTCCATGGCGATTGTGTTGATTTCTCTATCAAATCAATTGATCGGAGACTTGACCTAAAATTATTACACCCTCGGGCCAACTACCACCGTAGGTCGGCAATTAAGGAATAATGGACAGTTGAAAAGGTCAGGATGGTCCTTAGGATATGTCCTAAAACATTGCCGGGCAGGGTGAGCCTTCACCAGATTGTATCTACAGGAAAATTCGGAGGAGACAATGATGGGCCGTGCATCAAGTACGTTTGCCGTAGAGAAGCAGCAAAGGGACGATCCAATAATGGGTTATTAATGTAAAGAACCTTATGTTATACGCAAGAAGGACGGTTTCGCATAAACAAGGACAAATTTGATCTTTATTGCATATTATAGCCCTTTTTTATTTAACTTGCCCTGAAGGGCATTCTTTGACCAAAAATAAATGTGAACTAGAGTATGGTCCTACTTCGACATTACTTTATTTTCTCATAATTTGGGGTTTCATGATTGGAATCCGTCTTGGATGTTCCTACAACAAGGCATATAATACATTAGGTCCTGTCCCGCGCCCGAACACTAATAGGGTAATGTAGTTGCACTAGAGTGAGTTAGACTATCTAGAACGTGTTTGTTTGAGTGAAAATTTTTTTCACGAATTGATTTTTTGGACTTTTACTCGTTTGGTTGGCTGAATATGTTCGGTCAACGGAAAACCATTTATGGTCAAATAAATTATGCACGTTTAAAGTTAGGACAATGAGTTCTTTAACCTGAAAAGAGGAAAACATTTTCCCGAACAATGATTTCTCGAAAAGATTTATCTTTATCGTGAAGTTTTCCCCAAATAAACGCACCCTTAATATGTATTAAAAGCTTACGAAATATATTCATAAATGGGTCAAAAAACCCTATCAATGGGATGGGTGGCATCAGCATGGGCGGTTTGTTTCGAGTTTGAAGCCTTAAAATCCTTACCCAAGCACGTCCCAATTAAATATGGTAAATAAATTTCGTAAATTAACTTAACGTAGGTGGGGTTTATTATCCAAGCCTTCCAATTGTATCATCTTATCCGGATCTTTTCACTACGATTCATATATTGCCTCGTGTCATATTTGTGTCCAACACTACCAGTTCTCTATTAAAATGTTCAATTTGCGATCACGAAACTTCCAATTTGACTCATATATGTACTTTTTCTGCAATGTATTAACATAGATTGATTAAAGCACCAATTAGGTACATAGAATGCTCTATGATAAGGTTTTGACGATACTTTTTTCACATCTCGTGGCCATCTCCTGTTACAATCGTATTCATTGTCGTATTCACGTCACGTGTCAGTCAAATGCCCAATAAAAACAAAAAGAAGCCATAATCTCCCTTATCCACTCTCTCTCTCCTCCCACCCTCCGTCTCTCACTCTCTCTCTCCTCAGCCACTTACGCACTAATCTACTTACACATTTACCTATATTTCAACGAGGGAACAATCTTCCCATTATCCAAATTAACGTCGTTGTTTTCGACAACTTAGGGCAAGTATATGCGTATGGTATGTTCATTCTTTATCTGTTTCCCACTTAGTTTTCTAAAGTGTGTTTGATTTGAAACCATTTGGGCATAGATATTAGGGATGTGCAAAAGAATCGGGAATCGCCCGAACCGCCCGGGACGTGCCAGAACCGATGATTCTTAAGGGAACTGGTTCGGTTCCCAGCTCCAATTTTTAGGAACCGGCGGGTACCGGTCCGGTTCCCGGTTTCAAGCGTGGAACCGCCCGCCCGCCCACCCGGACCGGACCGGTAATATAATAATAAATATAATATATTTATTTAATTTTAATTTTTTTTATAAAAAAGAAAATTCCTAAATCCCTAAACTAAACCTAACTTGCTCGACGTTCACAATCTCATATTGAGCCGAGAAACACCTTATTTCACTTTTGCCTCACGCTCACTCTCACTCTCTCACTCTTCTCGGTCAATGCTCACCTCACCATCTTTGACTCTCCATCTCCGTCTTCGTCTCCGTCTCCATCCTTGGCTAGTGGGACCGGTTCCATGGACCTACCTGGGAACCGGACTGGACTGACGGTCCGGTTCCCGGGTGGATTCATGGAACCAATGGGCGGTTTCCGGTTCCCATTTTTCGGAACCGGTCCTTAGTGGGTGATTCTCGGTTCTAGGATGGGAACCGTCCACCCGGACCATGCTCATCCCTAATAGATATGTTTACGGTCTCCCATAATCTACGCTTGGATCATTGCACTAGCAGATAATTGTGCAACCTCAAACTAGCAAGGCGTGTTATAATGTTTCCTTAAAGCCGATGAGCTATGACCAGAATAGATAGTATCGATAGTGGTGACAGTGGACGTGGGTCAAATTGCCGATACCATAACTAGGAGGATGCTGCAAGTTTGACATATTTTTAACCTAACATCGTTCAAACTTGGATAACTATATTGGTAGAATAATCTCGCACTTCCTAACCTTTTAAAAACGTTTGTGTTCGGGCGATCAAGATTTGAAGTAGATAACATCGTTCCGGCACTAATCGCTAGTTGTTACCATCTTCGGGCCAAAATATGAAAATCTCTGCATTACCGTCCATCCTTTTTTTATTCATTTTTCCTCTTTATGATACTTTTCTCTAGCTTGCGTACGGAATACGGTACGATTTACCAAATCAATCCAATCTCAATTTAATTTATTCCCAAGTGGCCTACCTCGAGTTGGCTTTTCTGATCATTTCTAGACAATTTCTCCATCGCGCTACTCTTTCTGTGACACTTGGCCTCGATCGATCGATGTCGTCTTTAGCAGCCATACTTAGTCGTTGCCTTTGCCTCCGCCACAATCAAAATGCCATTTGAGTGTTGAATAGTCTTTAACTCGCCAAGAAGGGGTCCATTGAAGTCATCAAAGAGAGGCCCTCTTTCTTCCTTTCTTTCCTTTTCTTATTCTTTATTTATTGTTCTTTTTCTTGGCCTTTATACAAGTGGATGTGGGGATTGGCCCAACGTCTAATTCCTAATCTTTCAATTCAAGATTCTCCACTACCACCACCACCCAAGTTGATGAAAGAGACATCTATGGCCACGATGCAAATAGTAAGCACAAAATCATCTTGGCTTTACCCAGTAATGCTGCGTATATTGAGATTGATCTAGTAAATTAGTAAATTTTAAGTAATATATGGGTGCGTCGAATGCGAACCCCTTGCTTGACGGTCGGATTAAAGCCCGTCACATCGAATTTAACCGTTGATTATGTTGGTCTTGATACACTTTACCATCATTACTCCATCGGATACATCAGAATTTAGTGTAATTAAAGAACGAATATACCTTTTTGGTACTTTACTCCCATGGATGGGATATAATTTTCTCAACTTGTCTTAACTTGTGCCACAATTCGTGGCTTCTGACGAGTTCTAATTCTTCTGTCGTGCAATTTGGGCAAGTCACGGTTCAAAAGAGACAAGAACTTAGAGCAAAATACCCTGTCATCCCCGATGGAATGGAACATTCGTGCATGCGACAAATTTAGGTAAATCTCCATTTTTTTTACACATGGAAGAGTAGAATGAAATATTATATGAATTATCGACCTTAATGACAAAATCATAGTAGCTACAAATTACATATGGAGCCAATTTTCGGAGAGGGGGATTCATCTCCACACGTAAGAAACAAACGCGAAGAAAAAAATCATTCGTGCCTTTCGAGCATATCTTCTCAATATTCTTCTAATTACCAGCCAAAGCATGTGTTCCTTTCTCTGTCCCTTACCATTCGCCAAGTATCGGCCCAGGTTGTCGGCACGTATGCAAGCCAACGAAACGAGGGTTCACATCGAAAAATTGGAAAAAAATAGCGGGGGGAAAATTATCAATGGAAAATCAAGATCCTCCCCCAATCATACGCGCAATGCCACGTCACCCATCTTCTTCAACAAAGCAAGCAAGAAGAAACCCTAGAGAAGAGAAGAATCGAAGAAGATGAACAGAAGTTTGACTATATTCACATCTATGGAAGAAGTTCAGGTACTGCAGTATTGTATGAAGAAAATCATCTACTCTTCTACTAAGAATCTCTATGAAGATCAAGATTTGATCCGCTATCTTTTCATCATCGTCGCCAAAGGCATATCGAATTAAGGGAGCCTGGTCCATCGGCCGGTGCATGCAAGCGGTGCGCGTCAATAATACCGCCTCAGCGCCGTCCTCGCGCCGCCGCGACCGCCGCCGCCCCCACCGGCGGCGATCCTGGTCTTGACCCGTTCGAACTCCGAGACCCCGCAGGGGATCGTGATCCCGCCCGGGTGGTCGAAGCCGAACTCCTCCTCGGCCTCCCTCAGGAGCTCACTGAACAGGGGGTGGTTGAAGTAGATCACCGGCACCAGGACCCGGCAGAACTCCGCGTCCTTCTGGCCGACGTAGACCGCGAGGTGCCCCTTGGGCACCACCGCGGGCTGCGGGTCTTGGTCCACGGGCATGTAGCCCGATCCGGGCTTCGCGGAGCAGAGGCACCTGGTCTTGCTGGTCAGGCGGCGGCCCCACGTGAGGAGCCTCGACACGGGCGTCCTCCTCGGTTCCCGCGACGGCGGCGGCGGCGACGTCGGCGGGGACGAGGGGCCGAGGCTGAGGTAGGCGACTGGGTTCTTGGGTCGCCGGAGGATCCACCGGGTGGCCCGGAAGAAGCGCTTCTTGAGCTTGATGCCCCTGAATTTGAGCTTGAGTGTCCTCATCGGAGAAGTACGGATTCAAACAGAGACAGACACAGAAACAGAGAGAGACAGAGTGCGCGCGCGCGCGTGTCCGTTAGGATGTGGGGGGTTTCAGGAGGAGGGCGACGGACATGGCGAGGCGGAAGAGAGTGAGGCAGACTTCGGACAGAGAGGACGGGACGTTAGACATTCTCCCGATCTTCTCCTCCTTCCTGTCCGAGCGAGGCGAGTCTCATGCGTGGGCGAGGAAGGAAGAGGAAACACGGTTCGAAACGTCCTGTTTCCTTCCTTTCCTTTGTCCGGCGCCCGCTGTTCACGGTGTGCGAACGATTTCGCTACAGGAACAACAAGACGATAGAGAGAAGAAGAAGAAGAAGTTGTAGTTGGAGGCACGCGATGTTGTGAGAAGAAAGAATCAACTTAAATAGCTGGTAGAGATAGAGAGAGAGAGGAGAAGGGTCAAGGGTGAAGTTTGGCGGAGGAGGAGGAAGGGTCAGATACAGAGAAGCTTCCGTACACAAGGTGTCGGGAGACTGGAGTGACAGCCGACGGGTGCCGTCTGATCAAGGGAAGGTGTGTGGCGTTCGCATTGATCCCCTGTGCTCAACGGCTCTTGATGGGGTCATAACTTGCTGCGGGGCCCGGGAAGCAATCGAACGGAGGAGAAGCCGTGGTATGATTCATAGGATTAATATCACGAGAAATTCCGAACTTATACGCCTGAAACAAATTTATCTCAAATCTTAAGTTGACATATCTATAATAAATTTACCCTCCATTAATTTTCGTTAAATTTTACAGTTAAATTACTTAGTTAGATGACACGTGGCAGTTGACCGTTTGTCATAGGCGTACCGAATTGTGATTTTTCTTGGTATTAATTCAATTTGGGTAAATTTGTCACAAATGTATTAGTTTTTGATTTTTTTTGTGTTCAAAAAATTAGTTTATGGTAAATTTGTCATATATGTACGTTTTTCGTGATTAAAAAATTAATTTTGGGTAAATTTGTCACAAGTATACTAGTTTAGAGTTTTTCGTGATATTAACCCTTTGAATTATTAATTATGAGTTTTATCACGAAATCCATTTTGTTCAATAAAAGAAATTCGTGGGCCAATCGCTGCTTGCTTACGGTTTTAAAGCAAGAAAAATTCACAGGTTTTATCTAAAGGTGAGGTGCGGCCGAGTCGAGTGGCTGGCTTGAGCTCAACCCGATTTATACACTCGAAACTCAACTCGATTATTCTCAAATTAGATTTGAAGCTCACCATTTAAAAATTCATTAAAAGGATAAAAGTGTACTTACAAAGTAAACAGTAATGTATTCAATATGTTCACGTTATGGTACAAAAGTAAGGTACTAAATTGCGCTCGCAAGGCAACTAATACTAATACAAAATCTAGTCCAGGTTCAAATCTGAAGATGGTCGACTACTAGAGTGAGCGATGAGTCAATCACAAGTGATTTGACTCACTTGCACCCAAGCAAAGGAGCTCAATATACCCTTTCCCATGTGAGCCAACACATATGTGGCCCCGCTGGTAAATACATTAAGAGGTGAGATCGAAGAGTATCGGGTCGAGAGCTCGATTCTTGTGAGCAACGCACCACACACACACATGTACACGGTAGAAATGATTGAAATAAGAAAAAAGTACTTTACGTACTTCGACCCCCAGAAAGAAAAAGTACTTCATGTACAATGAGTAAGGTTTTCGTTTCCTATTATATCTAATTTATCCGATAACACCCAATCGGTTTGTAATCTTACAAAACAGTGAAGACTCTTTGGATAAATCTAGATGCAATTCAAAGAATCAATCATGTAATCTTCATCCGATCGTGCAGGGCATTAGGACAAAATCTATGATTTTAATTACGACAAAATGTAAAGCCAAAACAGTCTCCTCGGTGAGAGCCCCTCTCTCTCACCAAGAATTCCCCACTATCGACGTCAATTTTCTTGCAGACGCTCTCCCCCACCAAGAAAAGTTTGGAAAGTGGAATTGGAATCATTACCACTATCAGTTTTTTCTCCAAGCTTTGCCCTATTTTTGGTAAAAATGTTAATACTACAAAAAAACCCTAAATTTATACACTTACGATAGATTTACCCTCCGTCAGTTTCTGTTAAAATGTATTGTCAAATTGCTGAGTTGGATAATACGTGACACTTGATGAGTGTACCAGTTTAGGGTTTTACCGGTCTGTTTATTACAGATTTACCAATTTATAATTTTTCGCGGTATTAATCCAATTTAACGGAGGGTAAATTTGTCACGAGTGTACTGGTTTGGGGTTTTTGATAGTCAAAAATTAGTTTGAGGTAAATTTATCATAAATGTACCAGTTTGGGATTTTTCGTGATCAAAAAATTAATTTGGGGTAAATTTATCACACTAATTTAAGATTTTTCATGATATTAAACCCTTTGGTAAATTTTAGGGATGAAGTTTGTAAATGTTTTCAAATTGTTCAATTGGGTGACTGAATTTTATTTTGGTACATTTTTTTTGTTCAAATTGATACTATCGCTAGAATGGAACCAAAAGCCCGATGTGAAGCGACACATCAGCGCTGACCGGACAAATTGGTGCTCATGTATAATTTCCTTTTGCTGACTATTAAATCTTAGAAAGGTTTTTTTTCAATGGAACTATTATTTTATTCATCCTAGAATTATTAACAATTAATTGTAAATTAAATCTTTAACCATCCGGCGCATCGCGTGGGGCTATAGAACTATTGACGAGGCCAATTATATGCGCAATCTAAAATTTATTAACTCATCATTCTTTTATTTTTGTTTTACGAATATTTTTGGAAATAGATACAATTAGTAATTAATTTATCGAGATTCCCCCCATTATAATTTCTAGCAGATAAGTATGAACGTTGAGAATGATGCCTTTTCATGGATTTCCACGCCATCAAGGAGCCCATCAATCCGAGATTCTAGGGCTTTCCCCGCATTTAATGAATTGATCACTAAAATCAACAATATTGAAATTAGTTAAGAGAACTTGACCGTATATTCAGCCGTGGAGACACATTAAACCTCCATGCTTAAACCGAAAATTATCTCCTTAAAAAATAGGAGAAAATAATACATGACTCATTTACACAATATGTATGTTTATGTAATTAAAGTCAATTTTAAAATTTGGTGTCCACTAATTAATAAGCAAAACACTCTTATCTCATCTTAATCTCAATACAAAAAAAAAATTGAGAGAGCATTAAATGTCATTCAATATTAAAATTCGATATCGTTGACCGATTACGTAACAAATCTCTAATTTATATGGAGTACATATTCTCAGCTTTGTTAAATTTTTATCCATATTCTCTTGCTAACAATCATCCGAATTCATTTCGAATGGGCGCGAAAAAGCCAATTTACTAAAAAAGTGTTGTAAGATAATTATGTGTAAAATATCTTTAATGAAGGGATTGAGTTTATCTTTTCGTAATACGATGGCTAGCTTCTTGAAAAAATTATATAAATATCTGTGCATTTATGTCGATCCATTCACGACATGATATTCTTAGGGTTAATAATCATGCACTTAATTTTAATAACCATGTCAAATGCTAATCAATATATTAAATGCACATTTCTGGTCCGTTTTCTATTAAATTGAAACTTTTGAAAAAGTGGATGCACTCTCATTCTTTGTTTCATTTTCCTTTTTTTTTTCTTGAAGTTTATAGAGGCTGACTTAGCGTCAGATTCTGATATATGATTGGGTGATGGGAGCATCATATTTCGCGGAAGTTGGGCGGAGAAGTTTGACTTTTTCTTCTTACAATCACTATGCATATGAATCCTATCAAATGGGAAATAAATACATAAAAAATATTAAAATTTGAATTTTATGGTCTAAAAACAAATTGTCTTGGGTTCGAGGAAATTGGGTTTGTAGTAATCACGCCAGCGTTCGTGCCCATCCACTTCTAGACTAAGTTGCGCCCTCTAGATCGAGGAAGTCAATAGTATAATAAAGAAGAAAAAGAACGAATTTGACTAAAGGACATTAACGACCAAGACCAAGTCCCCAATGAATTTGTCAAATCGTGAATTGGTGATCTCCATGCCGGTTTTTCGTCGCGCCTTCCTCTCTTTCCATGGGCACGTGGCTCGCACATGGGCTTTCAATGTTCTAGAGGAAGGACACACGATTCTCGAGTGTGTACCGGAACACTAGCTAAACATGTTTAATGAGAAAATTTTCGATTCTGACTTGTATTCTTACAAGAATAGTCGATGTATTAAAGTTTTGATAGCCAATGTGCTTTCATTTCCTCATCAAGATTCGAGAGGTCTTGAGCTATACTCTTATAAATTGGTGACGGATATGGTTTAAGAAAAAAATTCTCCAAACTTATCTTAGGAGGAAGTCATATATCTCATCAATCAAATTACACTACATCAATTACATCTTTGTTGTTGAGATATTTTTTGTTGTGCATAAAAAAAAACTGATAATGTAATTAACCTATTTCGTTCAGGATGTACTGCAGCATGTATAGAGGTTTGAGGAATCAAAATACTGAGTGTTCAATTGTTATCCCAGATTGGTCTCACTCCGGATTTTAAAGGGTCCTAAATATGTAATCGCCCTATACTTAATAATTCAAGCTTTATGAACAGTTGACCGTATTTTGATCTAACAAAAATTTACATGATTAGTTAATTAGTCTTATAAACATGTAATCTGCATGGTCCATGCCATATCTATATTTTGCATGTGAAAGGAAGTGCTAAGGTATTATCACACGTTGATGAAATACGAAATTTTGGTAGGGCCTCTTATGTAATATCCGTCAATTCTGGGTTGGTTTCTCTATCCGTAAGAAAAGTGGGGAAAAAACATGAAATGAGCAGGAGTATCAATAAAGAAAACTAGGACTTGGCAATAATTACAAAATAAAGTATTAGAGCCTGTTTGGTATAGCTGTTGCCCTCCGGCTGAACAGTAGCTATGGTATGTTTTAGTTGTGCTGGAACTGCTCTAAGCTACATGTTGGATACTATTTGTTTTAAAGTTGCACCATCTCAAATACCTCGGCAGGTACAACACCCCTTTTTACAACTAAAATGGTTGCGTAGGCCAATGGTCGAGTAGTGCAGTTTTGCGTTGGTTTTGGTCGTGTAATAGAAGAAATTCCAGAAAATGCAGGACAATCGACGAAGGAATCGACTCCACAAAATTGGGGCCTCGAGCACCTTCATATTGACATGGAACTTATGGAGGCGAATCGATGCGAGTGGTGCCGAGTCCCCTTTTACACATCATCGTGAAGAAAGAATATGCGTAAGAAAGATAGAACACCCCAACATGACTGGTGCAAGGTGGAAAACTTGCTTTTCCACGAGGCGGTGAACAAAGTAGCCGATGCTTTCGA